TTAACCATTAAATGTCAAAAGAGGTGAGCACAAAAAAAAAGCAGAACTATGGAGACATGATACATTACACGGATCCCTGATTTGCCTTCTCAAACAATGATTTGTTTTACCTTGCAGTTGTGCTAGTCACCTGGAAGAGCTGCTATTTGTATCTAGAAATACACACAGCAGCACAAGCTTTGAAATTTGCAGGTTTCTAGGCAAGAATAAACAGAAAACTGAATCTGCCAGCGTGCCAAGCAACTACTGGAAAGCTCCTGAGCAGGCTGTATCTTAGCAGAGAAGTCTCTTTGGATTCCTGTTGACTTGGATTGAACTGTTATAAAGACCTCACTTTCAGTTTCATCCACTTAATTTCTTTGAGTAACATAATACTTCTGAAAGCTATGGGAGTAACAACCATAGAAATGAAGTCCTTCATTTCCTTACAGATTAAGCACGGCACAGACAAAACCTCCTTGGAGGGACAACCTTTACAAGCAGATAGCTCAGGCCTCACTCTGAACTCAGTCCTGGAATTCCCCAGTGGGCTTGTATCATAGATAATTTTGGAGGTTGCATACACTTATGTTGCTCTGATGCATTCCTTGCCAGCCCACATCATTTTTCATCACAAGTATAATTAGGGAGGATGGGAGGATGGGATACTGACCAGCAATGATAAGACTTGGAGCTATCTGCCATATTTGCATGTGTAAAGGAGACAGAAAACAGGAAAGAGAAAGAAAACAGGAATAACTTGCTTTTACTGCTGAACATTGCTCTGAAACAAAACAAGGCTCTCTCCCCATTATCCTGCAACTGAGGTCCTCTCTTCAGTGTTAAAGCAAGGTTGTAACTTAGGATAACACAGCAAAACTTGGAGGCAGACAAGGTACAAGAAAACAAGGCAGCTCTGCCACTGAAGCACCCCTGTTACTACCACACCGCAGATGCGTGTGGGCTTCTTAGAGGTTAAATTGCCTTTTTCTTAGCAAGACACTGAAGGCTTAAGGCTCTAAATCTCTCACTACTCAAATCAATAAGCCCTGCAGTCGCTGAAAAGAGTACTGCTGGCAGGACTAAAACCACATAATCTTCTGTCTCCCTGTCATTTATGGCAGCCTTCCCACAGCCTCCGAGGAAAGTGCTATTATCCCCATTACACAGACAGGAGCTGAGACCCAAACAAGTCTGGGTGTTGTCTGCACTGCAAAGACAGCAGCTCATAAGGACATCTCTGAGCAACCACAAGCACTGCTCTGACTGTTCTCCAGGGGATGGCAGGAGCTTGTGGCCCCATTGCAAGGATTCTTTGCCTAAGAACAGGTTTTCATAGAATCATAGAATCATCAAAGAGCTTAGGTTGGAGGGGGCCTTAAAGATCACCTAGCTCCACCTCCTGCCAGGGGCAGGGCTGTCACCCATCAGCTCAGGCTGCCCAGAGCCCCATCCAACCTGGCCTTGATGCCTCCAGAGGTGGGGCATCCACGGCTTCTCTGGGCAGCCTGTGCCAGCACCTCACAAAAGGCTCACAGCTTTGGAGTATGTTTCCTCAATGTATCTGTATATTTTAAAAGAAGACAACAACAGTATTGAAAAAAGAGCCCTGTACCACTGGGCAAACAAAGGGGACTTGTGCTTAACAATCACAGAAAAATGCTGCTGCAATGCTAGTACATCAACAGCCCTACCTGCCTTGTCCATTGCCTGCAGTTTGGCCAAGCTGCACACACCACCTGCAGGGATGCAATGCCAGCCTGAAAGAGCAAAGAGACACATTGGGTTATCCCAGCTTAAAGCGTGGGCATGCAGTACAGCTGTACACAGCATCCCTTCTGCACCACAGCAGTGTGAGAGGCTGCACAACCTGCATTCAAAATTCAGTGCTGATATCACAACAAAGCGCAATATGGACAGTGCACAGGCAGAAGCCAGGAAAAGCAAGACAAGGCCTCAACCAAAATGCCAGGCTTTCCCAGAAGGCTGTGAACACCTCTTTTGTGCTGAGCTGGCAGCTTGCAGGGAAGTTCGGCTCAGCTCTGAAACAAGAAGTGGCACATCTTCTGCAACAGCAAGCTCAGTCATGGGCTTTGAATTGCTTCCTAAGTATACAAGACTTTCCCTGTAAAGAGCTGTTTTGATTTTCTTTTCCTATTTTTCAATATAATAGGAAGCTGACTTCATAAAATGTCTCACAGCAGCTCCCAACTATTTTAAAATAAACATTTTCATTAAACAAGTGGATTTTCATATTAGGAAAGCAGTAGCTTGAAAGAGCTTTTGTGAAAAGTCTGTGGAGGTCCGGGTATGCCGTTCAAACATGGGAGGAATTTCTGCCTGCATAGTGAGACCTTTGACTTTTAGAAAAATATTATTGTTTGAGTTTTCAGCAACTTGGAAGTAAGAGAAAAACATACCTGAAAATTGTTTAAAAAGTAAAAAAGATTTGTATGCAGTTGTGTCATGATAGGATTTTAGTTTGTCTCTCAGTCTGTGTCTGCTTTTGCTGTGAAATATTCGTTATAAAAATGAGTAAATAAACATACTGTGAGTAGATCTCATAGGATGTAGAGATATAATTTTCATGAGCAGGTAAAACTCAAAGAAAATATGTGCCTCAGTCCTTGGAGCCCTTGAAGGACTATGAGATGCGCACATTATGATGCCCATCAGAGATGGAGTGATGCAGATTTTCTCCTGCTGTGCTGGCTGTGGCCTAAATATCACTCCAGAATGGAAGGGCTGTGGGTAGCAGCTTCCCCATAGCTGCAATCCTCAGGCAACTTTTGGCTGTGACATATTTTGATCTTTGCCCTTTTCGTAACTGCAGCTCTCAGGGTTATTTCTATGTCCATTCTGAATCTATGTTCTCAGGCGTCATTAGCCTTTGAGAGGAACAGGTTGTTGCAACTCCATTAAAGATCTTTTCTGCCTAGGGCAAGATATGCTCCAGAATTAATAAGCTGCTTTGCATAAGTGACAAATGTGATAAAAACAGTCATCAAAAAGTGTCTGGAGTTTCAAGGGCTTTGGTAGCTGCATAGCTGTTTCAGTTGTGCTTGTGAAAGACCTCCCAGTGCCTGGTGTCACCAGCAAATTCTCCTGAAGTCATCACTGAGCTTCTCAGAGAAGTTATTTGCCTGTATACGGACTATAAATTGAACATATTCATAGATCAAGGATAAGCTGATAAGCTACAAATAGAAGAAAACTGAGAAGAAATTCTGTCTTTTTTGAATTGAATTGCATATTCTACACACTGAGCTGTGCAGAAATGCTGATGAGCTACGAGGCATTGGAAAATATCCATCTGGGCCAGAATCAACTATGCATGAAATCTGGCCCAGACAGGAAGATTTAGGTGAGGAAATTAAACCCTGGTCCTTCTTTTACAGCTCTTTCCTGAAGAAAAAAATAAATGAGAAGTTGTTTTTCCTGAGATGTCTGAGGGTAGCTCATTTTTTAAATTATTTGAATGGATGTCCATCTCAGGGTGGCTTTCCATGAGTTAGTTTGTCTGGGATCAAAGAGAAACCACAAGGCAAGAATGCTGCAGCTGAGCAAAAATTTCAGGGCAAATTAATCCAGCAATTTTACCCCTTCACAATGCAGAGTCTTTCATTTATTTGGTTGGTTGGTTAAATGCTTTGGCAAGGCCTGGATCCAGCTTTTGCCTTGGTTATTGAGACAAGATCTTGGTAGCTCAGTGAATCGTTGCATTTTCTTGTTCTGCAAGAAGCCTCGATAGGTGGATCATTTCCTTGTCTGTTGGTGGCAAAGCATCTCTACAAGTACATGGGGCTCAGTAAAACTCACCACTCAAGACAAGAATATTTGCAGGTAGGTGTGGGCCTAGGTAGACTTCAATTGCCAAGGCTTGAGAGGTAAGTGACAGACCTTTCATCCCCATTCCATTTGTTGCTACATCAGAACTAGGTCATCTTCAGAACTGAGAAAGAAATGAAATCCATGTGAGGTGGTCATGGATGTGACCTCCAGGTAAGGCTCCTGTAACATGAGGCTTGCAACCCAGCTTGGGAAACGGGGCTGTGTATTGGGCCATAGGATGCTACACACTTGCCTCTCTCCACCTACGCAGCCAAAGTACAGCACAGTTTATAATGTAATTTCAAATCACTGAGGGAACCCTTTACACTAGCCCATCCTAAAAAGAGGGACTTTAAATAGTTTTCAGCTGCCTTGATCTGGCACAGACACAGGACATGGAGAGATATTTTACTGGTGCCACTTGTGACAGGCACTCAGAACAGCTTTATTTTAGAGCACGATCCACAACATTTTACTCGATTTACTTTACACCACCAATCTTAATATAGGTAAAATATCATGAAAGACAATAATGCTCACTCTAAATAAATAAATGCAAAGCAAATACTTAATATCAGAGACATCCTTAGCAGTAGTTGTATTGCTTATATCCTGTAATGGAGAGAATATTTACACTGTTAAGAAATCTGCTCTTCAGTCAGAGCAGCTACATTTTAGCAGCTTGCCAAACAAGAATATGATAGAAGGATAATATTTCACTGCCACTCTCAGCTACTGTTTACAGTAAGGAGATGATTATTAAGAGTCTGTTTCTTTACTGGAAAGGCTCACACAAAAAAGAATCCTTTCCTTGGATATGCATGTGCATAGTTTTATTTAGGACTACAATCCAACTGCTGTGTGCCATCCTATTTTCAAAGGTAGAAGGTTTTCCAGCTTCACCTTGGCTCTTCATTCCCTTTCCTAAACAACTCAATTTCCTAAAATAAAAATCTAAAAATAAAACCCAACAGCCCATTTTCCAAAGGCAGCCCTAAAAATTCTCACTGTTGGGACTCCCAACAGTTGAAATTTTTCTTTCCTCACAGGGTGTTTATCACATTACCATTCAGGAGCACATGACTTTACTAAACAAATCATTCTTTGAAAAAGCAAAGAAATGCAACAAGACAGTACAAAGCAGATCTGTTTCCTTGTTTCTTTCAGGTATTTGAGTAGATTCAAGTCAGAATCTTCTACAAAATTCAGAATTCTTTTTCCCAAGACTGGTTTTCTTTCCAAAGTGACTGATAGGAAGCTCCTTTACTTTACAGATACTTTGTTATTTTTCCTTCTCTCATCTTCAAGTGAGAATTATCAGTGTATTTCAATGCTGGGGGATTGTGCCCTCCATCAGATACTTTCCTATTTTGGTCAATACCAAGCTAGAACCTCAATTTGAAAGGTGGTGGGTTGTACTGATTCTTTTGGGGGGTGGGAGGGTAACTCGTGAAATAAGCAGTCCTTCAGTGAAAAGCACTTCCATTTTATAGGACAATTAACATCTAACAACATATGTTCAGCCCCATGCCTGCTTCCCAGCATCTGGATGTCTCAGCTCCATCTGGAATCTAATAAAGGAACAGAGCCTCATAAATCTAACACAGAAAGCAAAATGGTGTTTATACATTTATGACAGCCATATAGAGATGCATTAATTCTATTTGAGATCACAAATGTGTAAATATGCAGCACTCCTCTGGTAGCCATTGCAAGCACTATTGGCTTTGATTTAGAAATAGAGAGCATCTGCATAGGTTGAAAAGAGGAAATGATACACAATCAGAGGTCTCCCTTATAGCAGTAACCTTTCAGGCCTGCTAAGGATGATAAGCAAGTCTGATCAACGCTGTCAGCATAAGACAACAGCACTCGGAGGATGCCTCTCCACATGTACCATATGCAGTCCTGCAGCTGTAAATTACTTTCTCAAAAAAGAGGCTTGTATGCCAAAACATACATAAGATCACGGCCTCTTGTCCTTTGATAACCCTGTACTGTTTCTTCCACTTATTTCTCTTGCTTGAGATGCTCACTCAGTGGTTTTCTTTCTGGAATGCAGCATGCCAGCAGTGCTTGTTTTTGTTATCCTTGTTCCCTCTTTTCCCTGCTCCAGGGGAAGTGCTAGCAGCCCCGCCTCATAGGTTGGTAGGAATTTTAAACCAGCAATAAGCTGCTCCTCGGACCACCCCCAGACTTTTTTTTCCTCTCATTGATGCAGACGACTATTTAACTGGGGGTTGACTTGTCAAATTCACCCACTGATGCTTAGCAGGAGCTGCCCAGCCATTGACAAGAATTTTTTCCTCCTTGCCTCCTCCCCTGGACAAGCTCCCTAGGACGAAGATGCTGCTGAGCCTGCTTGCTCTGCTCTCTGCAGCCCTGCTAGCCAGAGCAGCCCCTCCAACTTGCTACTCCAGGGTGTTATCTCTGAGCAAAGAAATCACCGAGTCCTTCAAGGAGCTGCAGACTTCCAAGGCTAAGGTGAGTCAGTCTAAAATCTCCTACAAAGACATTGCAGGTTGCTTGCTTTTGACACAGGTAACTCTCAAAATAAAATTGCTTCTAATCTTTCTTCTTTTCTGCAGGACTCATGTGTAGAGATGCTGCCCAGGCTGTACTTGGACATCCACGTAAGTTTTCGCACTGCCTTCTTCCTTCTGCACAGGAGAAGCAGCCACTGAGAAGAGAGCATAACTCTTAAGATTATTAACACCAGAAGAGCTGTTTGAAATTATTTTTTTAAAGTGTAATTAACTAGAAAGATGAGTGACTGAAAAAAAAATAAATCTCACTTTGAATCTTATTAAAATCCCTATGGAGCTTCTAAGATTTTGTTTGGAAGTGACTGCCATTTCTACATTGTTTATTGTGACAGAAGCTAAATATGCACAGCAAAGCTTTGAATAGTAGTTGTTTTTTTTTGTTTTTCTTTTTTTTTAAAAAAAGCAAAACAATTTCTTTATTCAATAAACTTCATTTTTTATCATGTGTGGCTTCTGGCACTGCAGTTTTAACTAACAGAAGTGGAGGGATATCTTGTTGGCTTTTCCTGTTTTAAATAACCATTTGTTGAAACCAGAAAGCAAAAATATCCTTGAGGTTATGGAATACAGAGAAAAGACCACAGAAGTCATCTCCCAGCGAAGATGAAATAGTCTCCTGTGCATGTATGTGATATTTGGGATATCTGACATACTTTGCTGCTGTTCTCAGTGTCCCCTGAACAACTAACAAGTAAAAAAAAAAAAAAAAAATTCAATCAACGAAAAATGCCTGACACATTCTGCTAGAAGCATTTACACTGTCAGGCATTGCAAGTCAAATCCCGTCAGATCCTAACTCCACAGCTGCTAGCACCTCTCCTCACTGCAAAGACTGAGCAGCGTGATCCCAGTGCATCAGTTTTCCTTGATTTATAACAAGAGCTGGAATATTTATTTATTTGCTGTACTAGGATGCTGTGAAATTAATGTTTTCCATGCTTTATTTTAGTAATGCAAGTTGTGAGAAAAAATGACCCAGAAAAAGTTATTGCCTTTTGTATGGGAACGGAGGAATTTTGTCATAAATCCTTGATTATCTTGTTCATCAGTAAAACGAGGCACTTTCTTAAAAGAGAAACAGTGCACCTTTCTTTTTTTACGTTGCTCCACCAACTACAAGAACAGGTTTTACTATTTTGGCACTGCCAGCTCCCAAAGCATGTGGGAAGCTGGCAAACCAGGACTGCGCCTGCAAAATTTTCTGAGCACTTATTTGGACCAAACGCCTTTGTTATGACATATTGAAGGTTAATTTCCCACACTAAAGGTTACGTAAATCACATAGACACAGAGGTAAGAATTCAGGGCTCCCACAGAGGCAATAAGAATTTTGTTAAGTGGTGGAGAGGGACATAAATCTGCATTTGTGCACTGTTACAAATGCTTCTTTTGCACTCTTTGCAGAATTACTGTGTGCTGACAAAACTCCGTGACTTTGTGGCCTACCCCAGATGTGAGAGAGTGCTGGAAGTGAGTGAGCTAAAGGAAAAAGCCCGGAGCCTGTACACCATTATGATCTCCTACTGCAGAAGGGTGAGTCAGGATGCATCAACAGCGACACAGCGTTCAGCTCCCTCTATCTTAACCCTACCTCCTGACTTCAGCAGAAGTGAATCAAGGCCTGACTTACTCACATTTGCACTATCCTCTGTCTTCCTTCTTATAACATCAGCCATCTCTCTTGTTTCTCCAGGACTTGGCATTCCTTACTGATGACTGTAACGCTCTGGAAAGTCCCATCCAATCTTCCATTGAGTCCTCTGAAGATATTGACAGCTAAAATGGAGTCAGCCACAAAGTCGTACCTGGGACGTTTTCAAGGAGACCAGGAGTCAAGATGCATATAACACTGTCAGCTACAGCACTAGACCTTTTCTGAGCACACTAGCAATATTGTCTCAGACCTACCCATTTTTCTCAGCCTTGGCAGGAAATGAACCGCATGCCTTACATACCTGCAGAGCTGCTAGGGAAACTATGGTTAGAAAGCAGTTTTTTATTTGGCAAGGTATGATATTTCAGCTTAGCCAAATGTATAAAGTATGTTTTGTTTGAACACTAGGTACTAGATTTTTAAACTCTTCTATGAATAACTAGATTAATAGATCATACTACATTTTCTATATTCTATCCTAAGAAGTTATTTTATTAGATTGGCATGGAAGGGACTTTGTTTCTCTTAAAACATTTGATAGAAGTGTGATTCTGTACTGACAGACTTCTCTCTACCTGTATGGATCATATATGTATGCTGGTAACGTTTGATATCAGACTTGTAAGAATAGAAGTGAAAGTATCTTGCCTGAGTGAAAAATTAAATAAAAAAACTTCTAACTCAAGATGCTTGTGTTACAGCGTGTCTTTCAAGACACACCAAAAAGGTGTCATTCTTTCAACCTTTTCACAGCCACTTGCAAGCTTTTCAAGCACACAACCCATCTTTAGCTTTGTTTCCATAGCAGTGCAAACTTTGCTGTGTCTGCATGATTTGGCAATGTAAAAGTTTCTACTGGGAGATTTTTTTCTTGTCAGCAAACCATTTTCTTAACAAAATTAGCAGGTTATTTTTTAAATACTGTTTGTTTTGTGAGAATGTAAGCCCTAAGGCTTAGAAAGCTTCTTCAGTGTTTAGACAGACTTTTCGGTTTCCAAGGCTCAACTCACATAATGAGATACTGAGATCAATAAAATTTCCAGATCACAGATCAACAACGTTGGAAAAGACATCCAAGGTCAGCCAGTCCAGCCATCCCTGCTTTCTCTACAAGTAATTCCTCTCTCTCCTGTACAGTATTGTCTGGTTATTCCTCTGTAGCACTGCCCAGCATTCTGATTTGTTCAGGGTCTCACTACATTTTATTTAAGAAAAAAAAAATCCTCTGTAAGATTATTGAATTATGTGAGTTACTGCTCTGTCATCTTCTACCATGCCAGTGAACATCTGAAGGTATGAAACAAAAATGACTGACAACCTTTAGGAAAAGAAAGGAATCGGTTGATTTAAAGGAAGAAGAAAATGAGTGTGGAGGGAAAAAAGTTGTGTTTTTTTTTTTTTTAAATTTCAATAGAATAATGTAAATCCAACATGATTTATCAGTTTTTTAGCTAGTTTTCTGGTTCCACCATAATCTTGATACAAATTACCTGAACTATTCAGCTTTATACCCCATCCTATCACTTATCAGAAGCAGATATGGATTCATATAAATTAATCCTCTTTTCTTTGTTCTGTTACAGAGAAATACCATGCATAGAGATTTGCACTTTTGTTAAAAGTCAGTCCATTGCCATTTGATTCATTTTAAATGAAGGAGGGAAGCATCAAGGAATAAAACATGAAAATCAGTAGACACCTATTCAGTATTTATACTTTGGACTAGTTAATGCAATGTCTTTGTACCTCAATTCACCCATTTTGAAAATAAATATTACTGGTGTGAACAAAGCTCTCAGCAACACTCAGATTTTAACATAGATGATATGATATTTTCATATAACATATAACAGATATTTTGTTGACACAAATTAAAAGAGACCAAAAAAGGAAAAAGAAACCCCAAATGAAATCATAATTTGTTTCTGGGCTCCAAAGAAAGAGAACATGCCTGTGCAAATGTTCCTTTCCTAACTGAATATATTAACCCAATATTCTATTCCATTCCATTCTGTTCATGAACAGAAGATCTATTACATTTAGAAAAAAAAAATGATCTCAGACAAATTAATCCTGAACCCATTGCAGAAATTTCCATTCCACTGAACTTGGAACATTTGACTTTGTCACTGAAACACAGACTAAGAGAGGGAAGCACTGAATCTAGGAGAGATACTGAGGGAAGAAAAGAAGCCCCTTCCTTTCCAGTTTGTTCCACTTGTAACTGTAGGATCAAGGAATGTGCCCATCCAGCTTTGTACTTCTTTCTCAAAGTTGAAGTCCTCATACATTAGCCTTCCAAGCCTCTAGATGCTCCTGGGCAGCTCACAGGTGTTCCTACTCACTCACATTTCTCTATTGCCCCAGTAGTAAGCTCAGCAGTCCGATCTAGCACCAGACTGAATTCAGAGAAGGGCAACAGCTTGGATAGTTCTATTCTCAGAAAAATCATTGCTTGGTTTGCCTTGTAGGATTCATCTCCTCACCAAGCCAGCAACCTCTGGACAAGATCCTGTGCACTCAGGAGATATGAATATTTTTTTTCTGTATCACTTGGACATTTCCAAGGCCAACTCCTTTAGCAGCAACTATGCCCTGGAACAAGAACTCCTATTAACATGTAGGCAGGGAGCCTGGTAACCATACACAGAATGCATAAGTACCTTGGCTCAAGGAGAATTGCAGGTGGACTTAAATCACTCAGCATTCAAACTTTTCCTCCCTCTAACCAGGAGCTCCCAAGCTCATTGCTTGGAAGCAAGCAATGTTGGGAAAGTACCAAGGCCTGCACACTACCATACACACACCAAAACCACATCACAGCCTCTGCATGTCATACCTCTTTACAAAGACAGTCACAGCTGTACATGCAGTATGGCCACCAAAGGCCACGGCATTGCAGAGCTGATACAGAGACCAGTTCTCATGCCTAGAAGCTGGCAGCAGGCAGCAAAAGCTGTTAAATTTTGGCTGTTTTCCCACTTCCAACTGTCACAGGTTTTAAACACAGGCCTGTTATAAAGCTAGCGTTGTGGCTTGGCAAGTAAACTGCATGTTTCCTTCCCCACAGAAGTCCACACAACTCTGTCTCGAGAGCTGGACCTTGGCTAAGGTCTGATCAGGTATCCATGGCACTTCTTTGGTTAGTAACTTCAGCCTCTTCAATACTGACAGGACACATCATTTCCAACACAGTCCTAGTGCGGTTATTCACCAACAGCTCAGTTCTATACAGTAACATCCTACTTCTGTAGAAGCATAAAAGCATCTAGGCACTTTGGAGACTGTAAATACCTGAGAAGCCTGCAAAAGTCTATCCTCCATTTGCACATGTCCATTTTATTCCCAGAATCAAGATTTATCTTATCTCTGGTGTACTTTTACATCAAGTATATTCCCCATAGTTTACACTGTGATTCTTCCCATATCTTGCATGTCATTTTTTTTAATGGAAAGCGTGCTGAAAGCAGAACTATGCTCTTTCAGTTCACAGCAGCCTGCTGTCACTCACTCTTAATGAGATTTATGACTATGAACCCTTTTCATGAATAGTATCTTTTTCTATTTTGCATAATGTAAGGAAAAAAAAAACCCCAATACTGATAAACAGAACTAATCCACTTGTCGTTTGTCAAGAAATCCTGCACTACTTCCTTTCAGCAAGCCAGTAATTTTACCTTTTCACCAGGTATGCAAGAAGCAGTGGAGTCATCCACACAGCTGAACATATACTCCCACATCATAACAGCCTATGCTCCTGAGAGCCCCAACTAAGACAGAGACCACGAAGATTAAGGAATTTGCTGTAATTTGCTACATGGCTTCCTGCCTAGTTTGGGCAGACTAAGACTACTACTAAAAAACACATCATTAACAAATCGCACTCTGTTGTATGGGAATAGAGAGGAACTGTAGAAAAATAAAGCATCTGCTCTATTGTCATTATGTTAGGAGGTTTGTTGGAGAGAGTAGTTAGTCATATTGAATGTTAACGAGGTGAAAATTGCAGGTTTGGGGGACAAAAAGTAAGCAAAGACATTACTTTCCAATGTTGCCATAGTATTTTACTGTGGGTTTTATTAGAAGCAGTTTATTTGCCATCTTCTCTTTACTAGCCTTGATCACTTGGCTTTCCTTAAGGAGGCACTCTGGTCATTTAATTCCTCATGCACTAGGCTTTGGTGAAACTAGACAAGGGCTGGGAGCTAGAAAATGTCTGACACCTGGTTTCCACCCCAAGTCACAAAAGAAGGCAGCCTTCAAGCCCTTCAAGGTGACAAGGTTTTACAGACTTTTCACAGATAACATCAAATTTGCTACTAATTAGTAGAGTACGGAACAAATATCAAGTTTTATATATATATTATTTATTTATTTTATTTTTGAGAGAGAACAGGAAAGCAGTGGGGATGAATCTGATATGTGAACATGCACTTCTTTTGGAGAGGGGTGTTATTTTGCCCAAACAACAGGTTTAAGAGAGCCTGGTAGTCCATTCCACCTTTCAGGACATACATGGCATCTGTGGGTGGAGCAAATGGGATGCTGACACCTTTTCCAGAAGTTTGTTGTAATGCTAATGTCTTGTACACAATGTTACCTTACAAAAATTTAAGGTCTGTACTTTACAGGGCTCTAATTTAAATCTGTAAACCCAGCTGCAGCTTTATCAATGCCAAGTAGCACAGAAAGAATAATCAGTGATGTTCCGATGATAGAAAAATACAAAATATTCATTTTGAAAAACCTAGAGACTCTGTTACACTGCTTAAATTTTGAGATGAATATACAACATTAGAGTACAAGTTGGCTTCACTGCACTAAAACGAAGCAAAAAAGCTTTAGATACTGGTATATAATATAAAGCCCACACTAGTCAGTGGGTAGTTTTTGAATAGACTATGTGACGAGGAATCACATTCGTTGCATTAACTTTAGAGAGTGATTCACTTTACAGAGTGATTCAGATGCATGCTACCTTCTTCCTAGGACACTATCTTAGTTCCCAGGCTGCTGAATCCTATCAAAAAAATCAAGCCATAGCATAGCTAGGGATGTGAGGTTACTTTTAGACCCATACATTAAATGTTTTCTTGTCTTTACCTCACACTTACTGACATGAAACAGTTCACATACTAACTGCTAAATAACTTTTCTACTTGGGGTGAAGTGGCCAAATTGCCTTTGGCAATGGATTCTGGTCCATGCTATCTCAATTGCATCCAAAATAGTTTGGAAGGGTGGCAGCTGCCTGAGATCAAAACTGCACACAGTAGTGTTCTAACAATTTCCCAGTATGGACAGGCATGTTTCAGTACCTGGAAATGTTCCTAACAGTATTTGAACAAATAGAAAAGAGACTGATTTTGAAACATAATAGCTTCATTGTTCTTCTGGGGGAAGAAATATGTTTTTCAGACTATTAACACACTACAGGTTTTGTGATTTATTTCAAAAATAACATGGAAGAATCCAGGAAACAGACTCCAAACCTGACCAGTTTCCGTACAAATTTTGCATGAGAGAAGTACTAGATAAATAAATCAGAAATGTGCTATGCCTACTGAGGGAAAGTAAGCGTATGTGCAATGTTTAGCACTTCAACTGGAAGTACTTCCAATGATCTAAGAAGGAAAAATGTTTCTGG